GGGAAAATTCTACTACCAGTCCTTCATCACCTTACACGAAATAGGGTGAATACATCTCATTACACTGAGTAGTCTCGAAACCCTACTTTAATACGAATAAGAACATATACTTGTTTTTGTCTGCCCTACATATTACCCACTTAATAAAGCATTTTTATTAATTTTGTTCTATGTTCCATCAGGCCTAGGGTATAATTATTTCCTGCTAATATTCGTTTAAGCCAAACTAGCTCATTTTCACGTTGATCTTTATCGCCTAATCCTGTATTCCGTATACTCTCCCATTTAAAAATACCAATATTTGTTTCTTAACCTTTTTGAAGAATAAATTAGCAATAAAATTTTTATATCTTCATTTTAAATTACTATATCTTATTGACTTCTTCATCTCCATTCTTATCTCTCCGGTTAAGAACAATAAATCTAATTTGTCCTTACCATACTGCATAATTTTGAAAATCATCATTACCTAAATTCTCGACATGCAATTATTTGCTAAAATGGAGCCAAACAGGATACATTTGCAAATCCTTGCAACTTTTCGTTAAGGGAAGCATGTGCTACTCATGGATTAAGTAATTGTAATATTTCATTTTTTTTATGATTTCTCCTTCAATTTTGGCTAGCTTCTTGGCCTTAAAAAGCCTCGTAAACTAAAATTTTTGTATACATTGATTCCGAATCCAAACTTAATTAAAATTTCCTCTTAAACTCTGTTGATCTACCATTTTCATAAATTCGTGGGAATTATTTGCAAAATATTCCCAGTATTTTGTCACTTGTCTTAATTATATAGAAAAAGTGGGTTTTTGCCTATTTTTGCTGATTTATTTTGTCATTTTTCATTTCTGCTCGCCGTCTAGCGACTGTGATTTCGTCTGTACTGTGATAGACATTATCGGAGCAAGAATTTATAGCGCACAAGATATTCTAAGTTTAGTTATTGTATGAAGTCCCCTTATATGACAGGAAAACTGGGTATTAGTAGGGCACCAGATATTCCTTATTCCCATGCTGCAATAACTACAAATCTATTCCATAAAAAGTATCTACCTTATTTTGTAGGCGGATGTCCTGATGGAAGCGATTGATATACATACCCAGATAACCACGTCCAAGCAATCCCCGGGTACCATTCATCCGCTTGTGCTGGCCTATCGAACTACCTGTCCTGACCGCTTCCTGATCTCCGTCCTCGCCGCTCTACGTTCCCCTGCTGGTGGCCCACGTATACGAGGAGGTGCTGGTGGAGGCGCTGGCCTTGAGCAGGCACTTGGCCAGTTGAGCACAAGCCATGCTCTCCGCCTTTTGCCTCGATTAGCCGATTGGCTTTCGCGTGGCTGGCACGTCGAACTGGTGGGCCGTACACTCCGCCATCTCGTTGGCCTCCACCATGGCCTTTTGGCAAACACGGCTCGTGAAGAGATTCGAGACGCACTTAATCAGGCCGCCACATCCTCTAAATCAAGAATTTCTGAGCTTAAAGTGAGTTACTCATAACCTTACTCACATTTTGGCCCTTTTATACTCTAGCAAACCTGAATATGTGACTACTTAATTTATGAAACATCAATTTAATACTGGGAAATTTTAGTGCCTTAACCAATTTATACGTTTAACTGTCTTAATCATACGTTATTAAATATTTCCTTATTAGTTTTTTATTTGTTTGTCATTTTTGAGCTTGTACTGCAGAATTTTTAATGCTGATTTACTTTTTCTTTCATTCGGCGAGGTGAGATGAGGGGCTATTTTCAATTAGCCTCACCAAAGCTAATGGAGGATTGTCTTATAGAGACTTAAGATATCTTATAATGAGTCCTATCAGCACCATCTCGGTTCGTAGTACACAAGCACCAAATCTATTAAGGGCTGCCTTAAAATCTACATTGTCTTCAAATTCAGAATCATATTTTCAATGTCTTCATTTTTTTTACCTAGAGTCTTGTCGGGATGAATTTTGAGGCCCTTAACTTCTTGAGGTTGCGTCTTGAACGAGAACGAGAGGTTCCACTCTATGTGCAGATTGCAGATCGAAAGAAGAAAAAGTTTCAAAAAAAAGACCCTGTCGCCTTGGTTCTTCCTGGATAGTTAGCCCTTTGAACTCCTTTTCCCTGTATAAATTCTATTTCTCACGATTTTTTTTCTCATTCCGTTCTTGCGATTACTTGCTATTCGTTTACATTAATTCTGTCTCAGTAGAACATACAAAATTAATTGAGGGATTTATGGATAAATAGTTTTC